AACTGTTTACATTTCCTTTTCCTTTTAATATATTTATATATATATATATTTTTTTTTCTTCTTTTTTTTTTTTATTTATTTCACGGTAGGTGATATGGAAGTCCCAAATCTCATTGTATCCGTTGCAGAATATAATGACAATAAAGGCTTTTTGACTTTCTGACTTACAAAGTATTAAGTATAACACGGGACCATTATTCAGTTAATATACTCTCAGATTACCTAATCTAAATATTAGTGGTTGTATTTGTGCTAGATCCTCTGATAAGTGGCAAAATTAGTGCCTTGCTAGTAAATTTACCCCTGACCTGTGTGCTGGACAGTATCTTCATGAAAGCAACTGTATGTTTGGTGTTATTTAAACATCTGAGGAATTCCCAGCTAGATTTATACTGAGCTAAAACTACACACAACTAGATTATAACTCATCAAAATAACTGATAAGTTCTAAAGGCATCTGTATACCCATAGGAATCCAATACTTACAGCCAGTGCTTTTGCCAGAGTGTACATTGTGTAGGTTGGCAGTCACTCCCATGTTTCTGGATAAGCAAATTCTCACCTAGCTTGTCCAGTAGGAATTCCCACTTTGTTAATTAAAGCTTTCTTACAGACAGAAAGCCCCTGAGTCGCCACTTCAGACAGCTACATGCCCTACAGAGCTAATTGCTGAAAAATTCACTCTACGGCTATGGTGTCTTCTGGACTTTTAGATTGCACGTCCTCTATAAGGAAAATCCCAAGTATAGTTTAATAAATAATCCTCCTTCAGTCTCAAACTTTGCAGTGGTTTCCAGCTCCCTTTCCAATTAAAGAGCTCAGAGGCATGAAGTCATTATTGCAGTGCAAAGGCAGACAAGTTGGTAGAGGACACCAGCATCACCAAAGCTGTTCTCTCTGATTTGTGTGAAGGCTTAAAATACCATTTGCTTGTCTTTGGTAGTGATAAAACAATTTTAATATAAAGACTTGTTTTTAAACGTTAACTTTTATGTAAAGAACAATTTCCTTATTGAATGTGCTGCATTCCATCAAAATATAAGTTAAAAACTACCCAAATTGTTTTTAAAATGTCATGTTAACCTGAACATCCTACCTGCAAACCAGTCCAAATGACTGATTTGGAAAATCATGATTAAGATTATTTTATGATAAAATGACACTAATTAATACTAATAATTATATTAATTAACTAAATATTATTTTTACATTAAATTAATGTATTACACATTGTCTTGATAAATATTGGAATAGTTATGGATACAGTTAATCATGTAAAGTATGAACCTTAAATCAGATAAAGTGCAAACTTTACTGAATGTATGATTTATTACATCTGTGTCCCTAAAGAGATAAGGAGGTAGGTTGGTAAACCATACCATGACTGAATTTAAATGTTTTAGTGAAATAAAAATCTTCAGTTTTGCACTGTGAAAAATTCCAGCAAATGTTTTTTTCACCTACCAAATACTGTACATTTCATAAGATGGTCAAAAAAAAAGTTTGCTTAAGTCTTAATTCTGATCTTTTTTTTTTTTTTTTTTACAACATATTCAAAATTTGCCATATTGTATAAATTTCTTTAGCAATATTCAACTTTAAAGCTGATTAGATCTCTTTCCATGATCCATACTGGATTCCCTGATAAAGAGATGCACGAACCACTAAATTAAATGTTTGTAAAATTGTTTTTGCTGCTACATTATTGTTTTGTTTGTTTGTTTGTTTTTTTACTTAAATATAATTTGATATAGTTTATTCAGTGGGATACCCGTCATCATGTATTACCAGCACTGAAAAAAATAATGCAACTGTTTTTGGATTTTACTTCATAATACTTTACTTTACTTTAACACAAATGTTTCATGTTAGCAGGGTAGGACATAAAACAATTGTGTCAAAGTAACTAAATATGATTAAGTAAATGCCAAAAGCGGTTGCATTAGTTTTTTCTGTGAGCTTTTCCTTCTGCTGCAGAAATGTAGGTCAGGATGTGGAAGAAAAAAAAAGCAGCAACATCTCTAATTTTAACAATAAATTTCAAATAAACAACTGGTAAACTTTAATACTTCTTTCCACAGGATAATAATCTGAAACATACAACCAAAGCAGAGGAAACATGTTTTTACAAATACAAAATCTACCTTCTTCCATGTTTCCAGACATCAGTTTTCTTTAAAGAAAAAAATACAAACATGTTGAGCTATGACATTAGTAAAGACTTATGGCCTGCATGAATAACTTGATCAGAAAAAATTATGTATTAATTGACAAAACTGGATCTGACAAAATATTATTTGTAATTATTGTTGAATTAATTTAATCTGGAGTATTTTACTCATGTATATTAAAGTCATTTTGTGAGCTTTCTATTCTAACATTCTCTCCATACATTTATACACATATAGGTTATAATTATCACTCACTTTGAGAAACCTTGAACATGCAAGTGGAATAATTCACAGCTCAAATTATTTGGCATAATTTCATCATTAAATTCTTTTTTCATGGATAATAAGTGATTTGTGAAGGGAAACATCATGGTTTTATAGGCACAGATTAGATCAATTAATCATACCTTCAGGATCACAATTACAATTTTTTTGAGTTTTTACAGCACTAGTGGCTTGTTTTTTCCAACAGTAGACTGACAAAGAGGGAGAAACATGTGGCAAAGGACCCCCTGCACGCCCACAATTACATTTTGAATGTAATCCTGGTTCCAAATGGTACTGCTCTGCGACAGTTCCTTGTTTAACAAGGTCTTATATTGTGGTTCAAGTATTGTTTAAAAAATACAATCTGCTGCCGTTTGCCTTTTAAAGAAAACATGCCTAATAGAGATTTAGATTTTACTTTCCAACAAGATTCCTGGCCAGGTGGTTATTGGACACTGTGCATACATGGCCATGCTGTCAATAGGCTGGCGTTTCTGTATTAGAAATCCTTTTTTAATGGTCTTATGCAAAATTCCAAATTTCTTAGAAACTGAGTCATTGGTTTTTCTTAGCAGTATGTTATAATCATCATGATAAATAGAAAAAGATGCTAACTACTTTATGTTTCAAAGCCAATATGGAACATATGTAGGATTTTTCACTGTTTAAATTGAATAGAATGTATATATATATACAGTATATACATGAACCATTCATAAACTCATTAAAATACATCTTCATTTGTATATGAATTGTTAATATTCTAAGGTTTTTACTTTTCCAGATAGCAAACAAACTCTTTTATTATACTTTATTTATACTGCGGCACCTGCTGTCATCCTCAGGTTTCACAAAAACTGAGTGAGAAGCAGTGAAATGTCAAAAATTCAGAAAATTCCTTTTGGTGACTGTAAAACTTACAATACATGACCAGCCCTATTAAGGCAAATTTGAAATTGGTATTTTTTTTATATTAATGATTTTAGGACACACTTCAGAAAACCAGCAGATGTCACTGTAGAAGAGCATGTTTCACATCAGCCCTGCAGTGTTGTGTGTTGTGCACCAGATGCCGTCTCTGGCACCAGCGGAAAGTTTTGGACTTCAGCTTTAGCGTAACAAATAAAGGAAAACATTTATGCTAACAGACCACTGTAACAAAGGTGGGGGAAATTGACCTTTCCTACCTGTTTCCATTCTATAATGCTCAATGAGTCTAAAGTAAAATAGGTTATAATTCTCTTTCTCAAGTTTTTTTTGTTCTCATTGTAAGACTTCGCATCCAATATAATCTCTTTTCTCCAGTGTTAATTTAATCATGTAGTGACCTTTTGAAAGGAGAGAGTCTGCACCCAATCAATCATAACCATAAGTCCTTAATCCCAGAGCAGAGGATCAGAAATGATTGGTGAAAAAGGGGACACATGGACAAAGGTCCAGACCCATGTGGGTAGGATTTAGTCCCTTTGCCTTTTTTCCTTTTGCAAAATTTCCACAAGGTTTCATACAAGATATGGAGTCATTTACCGTTCTGCAGCAATTATTGCCATCTTTTTTCCACTCCCAGTTCACGTTTCTCAATTATTGAGAGATTATGCTATAGATAACAATAATCAGCAGTTTGCAGTTTAGCCTATTTGATGACAAAAAAATTGTTTTCCTTTGGATGTGTCCACCTTTTGTTACATTATAGACTTTAATGTATTTTATTTGAACTGAATTTAAAAAAATATATACAAAGCCATATATGATGTAAAATGGAAGGAGAATATTAGGTAACACTTTGTATATTGAGGTGTGTATTAGACTGTCTTTCTTTGCTATTAATTACAAGTAATTTTCAGTTCGGTTAATGTGAATTAACCGAAAGAAAGGAATTTTTAATAATGTTAAATTTGCATTTAGTGTCACTTATGTCATGTTTATGACTACTGTATGCAATTAAATTCAGTATATCTATAAAGCGTCAATTAAAAACACATATCATCTCAAGGCATTTTACAGTTAAATTGACTGAAAGTTTCTAGGAATTAACTGGTTTTCTAAGGAAAACCAGTTGATTGCATTGACTCGAAGGCAATTCCTCACAATAAGCATGGTTGTAGCGACAGTGGAGTGGAAAAACTCCCTTTAAACAGGGAGAAACCTCCATCAAAACCAGGCTCAGTGTCTTTTATTGACCCTCGAACGCCAGTCAGCCATCTGCCGAGACTGGCTGGGGTTCAAGGAGACAGAAGCAGACATACAGAAAGAAGCAGAGAGCGCACGTCTAGCCAGTCACAGTTAGAGAAACAGGACTAGACTTGAAAAAAAGGCCAAGCTCAAATATCTATAAACAAAGGTGTTGATGACAGGAACAGAGCGAGCATAGAGAGAGCATAGTGTTAGAATTTGAAATAAAAAATTCTGCAGAGAGGGTGAAAAGAGATAGAATGAAGCAGAATGATGAAAAAGGGATCTTTATGTCCTCCCGCAGTCTAAGGCTATGGCAGCATAACTATTGAAATTGCAGTGGATAACCTTAGCCACTCAATGTCAGTCTTATGCACATCCATCCAAATAAAGCGTTACCAAATATTTATTTGTTGTTTAGATAAAAATCCCAAATGTGATGTGTGTATATTCTTTAGATAGTTTTCTTTGGTACCTTTTCACAAAATCAAATATATAATTCACCTATGTTTAATTTGAACCATTTATACAAAGCATCAATCTGAGATATATAAAAAAAAAAAAAAAAAAAAAAAAAAAGTTTTAAAGTTAGGTTATAAATAATTGTCTAAAAAGCTTATCAGGGTAAAGTTGGAAAGAGTTTGGCTCAGGTGCAAATCCATATCTAGAGAACTGACAGCATGTCGTGGATGTGTATGTATAATCTGTTAATGAAGATAGTTTCTTCTCTGGGACTATAAAAATCTGTTTTTATAGGAATGGCAGGAATTAACCATTGTCGATAGTAGGCCACAAGTAGTAGAATATCGTAAATAAAGGTGCCATTTTCCTCAGCTTCAGTAACTATCATGATTTAGCATTGACATGGACAAAAAAGTTCATATTCTGAGTGTAAAACAATGTCATAATCTCTGCATGTTTGCAGGCTTCCTACTCACGACCAGAGAGAGCTTCTGCCTTGGGTGATGACCCCTGTGAACTTTGTCAGCCTCCTGGCATCCAACTCCAACCACTGAAGGGGGTCATCTCTCCCTGCACACCAGGCCCCATCGTACAGATCATCTTCATAAAGGCCAGCCTGCATGTTGTGGAAAACCATGTCAATTACCGGTAGTGTTTTAATGTGCAAACACATACCATATATGTATGGTATAAGATGAATTAAGGAAGAGTTGCAGTGATATAAGTTTTTTTAACCAATGATTGTCTAAAACACAACAAATGTTGTGTCAGGAATCCAGTTTGTTTGGTCTGTTTTTGTGTTTCCTTTCCTCCTCCACCAGGTGGTGCCCCGTCCTCATTGGTTCTCCCTGCACACCTGCAGCTCACTGCCTCATTACCTGAGGAGTGTTCTTAAGCTGCTGACTGCCACTCCCTCAAGGCCAGAGTGTTTGCCAATACAGGGTACTCTAGCCATGCTTAGTTTAGCAGAGTCTAACCTAAGTCTGTGTTCTGCCAATACTGTGCACTCTAGCCATGCTTAGTTTAGCAGAGTCTAACCTAAGTCTTTGTTTTGCCAATACTGTGCACTCTAGCCATGCTTAGTTTAGCAGAGTCTAACCTGAGTTTTGGTTTTCCAGTTTTGGATTCTCTAGCCAAGCTGAGTTTTTTCTGAGTCAAACTGAGTTTTTGTCAAACTGAGTCTTAACTTTGTTTTTGTCTTTGTCTCTCGGCCGGAAGTCATCCTGCAAACTGGATTTGTTTGGTCCTTCTGTCTCTGGAAGGTTCAACTTAGCTTCTAACTGAGCTGGGGTTCCAAACAGGAAGTTTGGATCCACTTTCCCCAATAAGTACTGAGCTTCTAACTGAGCTGGGAGTCCAAACAGGAGGTTTGGATCCACTTTCCCCAAGAGGTCGTTTGAGCTTCACACCAAGCAAAGGCTTCTTCAGCACCACAGCCCGTTCAAGTACCGCAGGAAATCAGAGTGGCAGTCAGCTTCTCCATTCACTCCAAACAGGAAGTTTGGATCCACTTTCCCCAAGAGGTCGTTTGAGCTTCACACCAAGCAAAGGTTTCTTCAACACTACAGCCCGTTCAAGTACTGCAGGAAATCTGAGTGGCACTAAGCTTCTCCATTCACCAAGGAACAACTGCAGTCTGAGTTACCCAGTCCACCCATCTCCAAGCAAGACACTCTCTGGTACAATCCTCTCAGTCTGGATTCCATAAAGGACACCTTTCCCTGGAGAAGTGAGTCTGCAACCTTTTCCTCCAATTCTAAGATTCATATTTCCCACTGAGCCTGAACTAACCGCAGTGTCTTCCCCTCACCTTTCAGTCCCTGTTGAGCAGTGTTCAGAGCAACACTGGACTCATTCCCTAGTGCTCAGAACAGCACTGGATTCACCACATCATTACCAAATATACCTGTTTAAACTTTTCCCTGGTCTCTGTTTGGTCTTCTGCATCTTGGGGTCAGACTTTAATAAAATCATGACATGTTGCTTGAGAGAAATATCTAGTGTTTTTTACTTTCCCAGATTCTATTCTGTTTGTAGTTTTTACTTTATCTCCACTTTACTTTAAATCAATTTGAAACCCTTACAAAGCAGAATCAGGTTTTCTGGATATATAATGAAATCTTTTGTTTCACCAGTCAGAACTTTAATGTAGAACTAATGGATATTTGGCAGGCTTAAAAGTTCTGCTTTTGAGGTTTCCTGCTTTTTTGACAAAATCTTTTAAGGTCTGGTTGGCAGCCATCTTGAGGTCTCACCAGAGACCTGAGTTCATTTAGAGATTACCAGGGGTACAGTCTTGCTTTCCAAATCCAATTCTTCATTCCAAATTCAGTCAGCTTCCCATTCTCATGATGCTGCAATCATCATTCCCAAATTAACTTTATTATCCGCACTATAATTAATGCCTATTTTTATCCAGTTATTTTACCAGACTCACGTTTTTTTCTTACCTGTTTTATACTCATTTTAGCATTTACAGTTTAGGGATAAAATACATTCTTTCATTTTTCTGGCTGTTGATTGCCTGTCTTACCACAGCTTCCCTATAAATAAAAACCTAACAGTTTCCAAAATGTTTTTCTTTTTGTACTATCCTAAAGATATCTATCACAAACCTGTTTATCTGTAAGCCAAATAAATTATTGTGGCCATATAAAGAGAAAACACACACACTGGAAAATGACCAACTCTCAAACTAATCTTTCAACATCTGCTCACTATGTGTTTCGCATGACACAATCTCTGTGCTCCTCCAAACAGTTCACTTTAACACACGAATTCACATCCAATAGACAACAAGGCCATTGTTTTGCTAAATGAAGAACAGGTGTTTTTGTGTTTTATTACTTGTGCAGCTGGATTTCGAGCAGCTTTGGAAGCATGCAAAAGATAACTTCCTTTTAAGAACATCCTGGTAGGTCTCTGGATGTGTCCTATGTCTCTAAATACAACAATCCCATTTTCTTTGGTTGCCTTTAGTGCAGTTCAAGGATAAGGCTCCCAAAATATTCAAAATTTGTTCTAAATGTAATCTTCTTTTTGTGGCCCAAATTGTGTTTTTCCTTTTTTCTAATATTGGGGATTCCATCCTTGTTCTACTTTTTTTTTTTGTCAGGGTCACAGGAAGCTGGTGCCTATATCCAGGAATGTATGAAAGGCCTTGTACGCCATCGCAGGGCAGTGGTAGGAAGCTGGATTACCCGCAAATCATTTATATTACATTTAAATATTGCACGGTTCAGAAAGTATTGGAAATAAGCACTAGCTTTTGTTTGTTTGCCTTTTTTCTTCTTGTCATTTTTATAGATAATTTAACAATCAAGAGCAACAAAGCTGAACATACATAAAAGTGTCACAGTCTTGGCTCTGTTATGTTTCCTTTTGAGTATTAAGTTTTACTTTGCTCCATGTTTTCTAGTTTTTGTGGTTTAATTCTTATTTTGTTGTGTTTTATAGTTACTTTTCAGTTTTCAGGTTTTTATTTGTTGCCCTCTGCTGCCCTCTTGTGTTCTCCTTTTTCTCTAGCTCCTTTCCTGTCAGCTCTGTTTCACACCTGCTCCCAATCTGCTCGTTAGCCCTCTCTTTGTTCTGTCTCCCTTAAATAAAGTCTTTGTGCAGTTCCTGAGTGCTGGTTCCTCGTCTAACTTCCTCCAACTCCGTCTCACTGAGTCTTCCTCATCAGGATTGTTTTTTCCCCTGATGTCTCCATGGTTTCTGGTTTGTTTGAATTTTTTTCACATTTGCTTTTTGGATTTTTGGATTCCTGCCTCTGTTGTCTGTTAATAGTTAATTAAATCATCAAGAAACTCACATCTGCCTTCCTGGCCCTGCATTTTGGTCCTCAACCCACAACCAAATCCTGACAAAAAGTTTTACATTGATATTTTTATTGCCTTTAACAATTTATTGAAATGAAATAAGCTTAAAGATGACATCTTTCCTCAACCATACTATAATACTTTTTGCTACTTTTGGGAGGAAAAAATACTTCAAAAAGTATTAATGTTATAATAAAAAGGTGATACAGCTTAGTGGCTTTCATTCAAGCCCCAACAAATCCATTTAGTGTAGCATGTTATAGTAACACTCAGAGGTATCAAAAGTACTTATATTCTTTACTTAAATATAAGTAAAGATACTGCGTTTAAAAAGTAAAGACTCAGTACAAAAGTAAAAAATTTTTTTTGCCTTAAATGATGATAAATAACTTTTAAAAGCTCTATTCATTTGAGAGCATTTCCATGCAGTGTAAAACGGTTAATTACTCTTTTCTCTCACTTTGCTGTTAAGCAGATCATTATAAAACTGACCTGGTCTAGTTTTGTCTAGTCTAGCATAATCAGTCGAATACTATTAGAACTTTGAAATTCACAGGACTAGAGTTAAAAATAGAACTTAAAACATAATCAACAGTGAATTTCAGTTTTGATAAAGAGGTTCAAGTTTTCATGTTATTCTGTGTTTGTTGTAAAGATTTATCTCATTTTGAATTTCTTCTTAGTCTAACTCCTTCTTGGTGTTTCTTTTTGTTATCTCTTTTCAGATTTCTTTGTACTTTGAACTTTGCTCTAGTTTATTTTTTTTTTATGTTATCACTAAATTATGTTTCCTCCTGGCATATTGGTTATCTAAGATTATGAAGTCATTTCCCCATAGTTTAGTTTTCACTTGATCTTCTCATGTTTCTTAGTTATTTCTTTTGGTCATCTCAGTCCTTTCAGTTACTATAGTATTCCCTGTTCCTAGTGCCATTCTCATTTTTTCCCCTTCATCCCTCACTTCCACACCTGCTCCCTATCAGTTGATCGCCGCATAAATTGTTCCTCCCCACTATATATACTCCTGCTCTGCAGTGGCTCATTTATTAGATTATCTTTATCTCATCCCACGTGTTTCCCTGTTCTGGTTCCTCCATCTGTTATTTTGTATTCTGTTACTATGGATTGTCTATTTCTGTTAACTCCTCCACCAAATAAACCTGCTATAAAGTCATCAGCAGCCTCTATCTCTGCACTTGGGTCATGATCTACAATCTACATTCTAACAGGAATACATGGATAATGTCTTATTCTAAGACTCTGATCCGTCATCTGCAACTTTCCGGCTCGCTGTCTCCATCAATGTCTTTATCTGTGTTTTCCTATAAACAAACGGCTTTAACTGGACAGATTTTCCTTCCGAATGTCCCTCTCTGTTGTTGCGGTTGTTATGTAATTCCCTTATCAATAGGCATAAAAGTAACAAGCCGGTCTGGAGAAAGTAAGAATAGAGAGTACAGATATTTGTATTCAGAGAGTGAGTAAAATGTCATCAGAAAAATAAATACTTAAAGTACAGGTATTGAAAAAGCTGCTTGAGTACAGTGAGTATTTTTCTTGACACCTCTTGCAACACTTTACATTCTCATCTTGCCTGAATGTTAAGACGACCTCTGTGTGCACCGAGACCATAGCGTTTTGTAGAGGAAGCATGGAGCTGGAAATCATCAATCTTCAGAGTCTCCAGTCCCATGGGGGGGCATTCTAGGCATAGAGGAAAGACAAAATGCCCAGTAATGTTAATGTTTTGTGTAATGATATGTATTACTCCTAGACACTTGAAATCTGTCTAAAGAATATAAAATAGCCCCTGTCACCAGGAACCATGACAGGTTATTTCAACAATAATAAGTGTTTTAGAAGTTTGCACTGGGAGCTAAAGATGTGAGCAGAAAGCAGCTGCACCCAGCACTCTGTCATCAGGCCGCTTCCCTCTGATGCTAATTAAGATACTGAAAGCTTTGAGGCAAGAAAATTGTTTATATACTCATTGGAGTTCCTTTCTTTGCCAAAAAACTACTTTGCATAGTCTATCCTCATTTTTAAGGAATGCACATCAGTGTAAGCCCATCAAGCCACAACCTGAGCAAAGGATTAAGAATCGAAATTACTATCATCATTTTATAGCAAAACAAAGCACTGTTACTCTAAACGATACAAATACAGGCAATACTCAATATAGCCATAGGGGGGAAAATATTTTGAATTAAAGGATTAAAAATGTAGACATTTATACACAACAATGATGCTGTAGAACAGAATATTACTGAAATGGTTTTTCAGGGAGCCCCAAAATCAACATACATCTATATATAACATTTTTATCATTTATATTACAAGAGTAAACCACAGAAAATCAATGATTATTGTACGTTTGTCAAAAAGTCTAAATAAATAGGGGGAAATGGACCTCCAGAATAGTTTTTTTTTTTTTTTTTTTTTTAAGACAGAGGGATAAGATGCTTTCATATAATTACATTTTAAGTTGTTCAATCGTCCTGAATAAAAACAACTGTTCCCTTAAAAACATGCAGTGCTACACATATGTCATTTTTCCTACGTATATGCAGTGGTGTCAAAAGTACATACATTTGTTTCTTAAGTAGAAGTATAGATACTGCAGTTTAAAGTATCTGAAGTATTAACTTGACCTTTTTACTCAAGTAGAAGTGAAAAAGTATGTGCTCCAAAACCTACTTAAAGTATAAAAGTATAAAGTAACCTTTAAAAAAAACAGCCAAATGCCACTATGTGAATTGAAAGCAACATTTTTCGACTATTTCAAAAGATTCTTTGAGATAGGGCCAAGGATGCGGGAGGTCTTGTTGGTCTCCGTCTCCATCTCCCGATACGTTCTCGCCTGTGTCTGACCGTTCAGACATTTCGGCAACTTTTTCTGAATCCGACATTGTAGCATGGCATAGACAATTCACATTTGCAGTTTGAAGAACACTTGCTTGCTTCTGATGATTTCCTTTAGCTAACCTATGAGTGTTTGCATTATATGACTCTTCCAATTACAATAGTTTTTACTAGATGAGGATGGCGCCAATGATCTGCATTGGATGCTTCCAATGGGATCCATCCTGAGAAGGCACAGCATCTCTTATTAGTTTTATGCTGATGACAGTCACATATATATGCCTATTAAAGAGGAAAAAACCTTTTCTCTTGCACCACTACTGGCATGCCTTAATGACATTAAAGCCTGGTTTGGCTCTTAACTTTGTAGGCTTAACGAGGGAAAAAAATCAAGTGTTTGGTGTTTGGTCCCAGTAACCTTTGTGAAGACCTCACTGGTGACCTGAGCTTTTTCACTTGGATCTTAAGACGGATAGTGCTTTTAAATTGGATCGGCAAATGAGCTCTGTTGTAAAGTCCAGCTTTTATTACAGTATTTCAGCTGGACAGTGAGTGAGTGAGTGAGTGAGTGAGTGAGTGAGTGAGTGAGTGAGTGAGTGAGTGAGTGAGTGAGTGAGTGAGTGAGAGTGAGCGAGCGTGAGTGCTCTTTGTTTTAATACATCGTTTGGCTAATTTTCAGGAAAAATATCACATTGTGTGGACCGACTGCTCCCTCTGGGGCCGGACGCCTGGACCCACAAGGGGATTGCTGTTGCTTTGGTGTGAATTGAGTTTAGGTTGTGGTTAGGGTTCAGTATGAACCTGTAATGTTAGGGTTAGGGCTGTATAAATGGAAGTCAATGGAAAGACCCAATAAAGGTAGTGAGACAAATTTTGTGTGAGCATGTGTGTGTGGGGGTGTTTTGGTGTTGTTGTTGGGGTGATTTTGTTACCTTATGGGGATGATTTCCTAGAAATATGCAACATTTTGCGGACTTATGATTATTTGTGGAAACTAATGACCAGTCCCCATGAGGAAATGTTATTTTCTTGAGGTGGGGGTTAGGTTAGGTTAAGGTTAGATTTGGGGTTAGGTATGTTTTGGTAATGATTAGGTGAGGGTAAGGGTCTAGGTTAGTCCAGAGACGTGTGAGAAATTAATGGAAGTAAATGGAAATCCCAGCAAGGATTGTTTCACACAATGTGTGTTTGTCCTCTGTTACATCTTCCACCCCTAGAAATACAGTTAGGGGTTGCACAGTGGCAAAATGTTAAAAATATCTTGGAATATAAATCATTTTGTAAGGCAATGTACTTTCCTTCGCCCTAAGGAATGGTTTGGGGTACACCAGAATGTCAAGGAGAATGCAAACTAGGATTATTAGTTACTGGGCTATAAAACAAATATACATTAAGCACTCTTTTGTATATANGAAAAATATCACATTGTGTGGACCGACTGCTCCCTCTGGGGCCGGACGCCTGGACCCACAAGGGGATTGCTGTTGCTTTGGTGTGAATTGAGTTTAGGTTGTGGTTAGGGTTCAGTATGAACCTGTAATGGTTGGGCTTAGGGCTGTATAAATGTAAGTCAATGGAAAGAGCCAATAAAGGTAGTGAGACAAATTTTGTGAGTATGTGTCTGTGTGGATGTTTTGGTGTTGTTGTTGGGGGTGATTTTATTACCTTATGGGAACGATTTTCTAGAAATATGCTACATTTTGGGGACTTATGATTATTTGTGGAAACTAATGACCGGTCCCCATGAGGAAATGTTATTTTCTTGAGGTGGGGCTTAGATTAAGGACTAAGGTGTGAATTGAGTTTAGGTTAGATTTGGGGTTAGGTATGTTTTTGTAATGGTTAGGTGAGGGTAAGGGTCTAGGTTAGTCCAGAGACTTGTGGGAAATGAATGGAAGTAAATGGAAATCCCAGCAAGGATCGTTTGACACACTGTGTGTTTGTCCTCTGTTACATCTTCCACCCCTAGAAATACAATTAGGGGTTGCACAGTGGCAAAATTTAAAAAAATGTCTTGGAATATAAATCATTTAGTAGGGCAATGTAGTTTCCTTCGCCCTAAGGAATGCTTTGGGGTACACCAGAATGTCAAGGAGAATGCAAACTAGGATTATTAGTTACTGGGCTATAAAACAAATATACATTAAGCACTCTTTTGTATATAGCCATCTTTAAAGGTATCTTGGTGAAGGTTAGTTGGAGTCATCTATATAAGGTGTTGAATATATTTGGTTGGCAAGTCGTTCATTTGGAGAGGCTTCCACAAAACATAACTTCTGGAGGAAAAAAAAACTGCTCATGCCTAAAAATGTTTTCCTTTCATGCCGGAGGCAGTTGCAGTTTGTTTGAGCAATTGCCAGAATTTAAGTGACTGCAGAAACTGAGATGGTACTGACTAAATGCACCTCTTTGTGTAGGAACCTCTCATCTCTTTACACTACAGTGGATGTTAACCAATAAGGGCCAAATGGGCAAATCAAAGCTGACGTGTGAAATCTCTGTGGGTCGGAATCTCCTTTGGGTTAGCTCAAGCTGCAGCACAGCAATGGAACATCAGAGGAAGAATTTGGGATTGAACGCTGGTCTGTTTGTACACGCAGCACATGCCGCACATGTCGCTGTCACACGGCCAGAGCTGCCTTCATAAATGAACTCCACGTGGTGAAAAGTAAGGAGGACTAGGAGATTTAAGGGATGAATGTGTGGAATATTCTATTCAAATAATGTAGTGAAGAAAAAAGTAAATAGCTGTGAAAGACAAGCAGCAGACACAAGAGCAAGAGACAACAAATGAAGCAGAAAAGTTCCTGGTTTAATATCAAAGTATAAAAGTTATAAATCACTGCTCTGTCTTGTAGGGCCTTAGAACATTTTTCTGCCAATCATTCAGGACTGCCCATAAACATATTTGTCAAAGCCTTAACCCTCAAGGAAGGCCAAAAAAACAAGTATAGCTCCACATTTATACAAAGCAGTTAAGTTTCTGCCATGTTGGAAAGCCATAAAATCATTAACATCTGTGTACAATTGTGGAGACCCACACTGAAATAAAGCATCTGGCTTCAAGAATAATGTGTAATAAAATATTTTTATTTTGATAAAATGACATTTATATCTTCCTGTAAGGGTCTTGGCATGCCAATCCACTCAGGTTATTCAGGTTATCCAAAGCAGAAAAAATTATTTGCTCCACATCTGCAGACTTACATTTAAACCTTGCACATCTTCAATATTTGTAATGTGCTGTTTATTAAGTGGAAGCTTTAAACATCCTCTAGATAAAGGACTGTATATTTTATATTTGAAGGAATGGGGGCTGCACTGTGGCACAGTTGGTTTCACTGTTGTCTTCCAACTAGAAGATCCTGCCTTTTGCATGGCGTTTGCATGTTCTTCTTGTGTATATAGGTTCTCTCTTGGTACTCTGCCTTCCCTCTACAGTCTAAAAACATAACAAATACGGTAGGTAAACTGAACCCCTCTAGGCAAACCAGTTTTAATCTTCGCCATTAGCACCTTGTCTAATGTTAAAACCTTTATTTGCACCTCACAACTGGTTGTCAATGACAAGACACAGCTATCACCATGCTTCAAACATACAAAACTTTTTTTGTTGTGGTCTAATTTTCAATTTCATCTAAATGTTTGTTGTTTTCCTAAATGACTTTGACTATTATTGAAACCAGGAATGACAATAGATTTCTTTAAATAATTACTTTATTATTGCTAAACCTGTATAAAGGCCAACTGTCAAATGCTAAATCAGGTTGGCCTGTTAGCAGTTTGTACTGGCCTCTGCTGCCACTTTGATTAAAGCTTCCTCTGCTGGCTGTCACTTAAGTGTTACAAAAGACCCTCTGAGAATTAAGGGTTCAGCCAGAAACAAAGTGTGCAAATAAAGGTTTATCAAAAATATTTTGTTCCTTAATGCAGGCAAGCATACAGGTAGCAAGCTTGATCCTGCAGGAGATAAGCATACAGTAACATAATCTGTTGTTGCCAAACAGAACAGAACAAGTTGTTGACAAGCAGAACAGATTTATAGCAGGCTTAAGATGACAGACGGTGACTGAACAGAGTGAAGGTTGGCTTGAGACTTAGACGAGGCTTGGGCTCAGGCCAGAGGTTTTGTGGCTAGGGTATGGTCCAGAGGTCTGGTAGCTTGGTCCCAGGTGAGAGGACTGGCATCTTGAGGTTGGAACTGAAGTCAGTCAACCATAAAGCTTCATTTAGATAAACATATAACACAGCAAATGCAAGAATATCTATCTTAAACCGCACCCAAGCTTAGAGTACCTTGGTAAACATTAGATAGAATAGGAGAAAGGGAGTTTATTGTGTGCTATTTGGGTGGAAAGGAAGCAACGCTGTTCAGTCCAGTACGGCTCAGAAACCCGGTCCACCCGGTCCAACCGGGATCAGTCTGATGCAAAAGAACAAGGGAATGTCTGCAGGGTTTAATTTGATGGATTGCTTACAGCAACAGCTGTTTAAGAGGAAGTCTCCTCACAGCGGCAGCTACACTGCTTCAAAACAGTGAAACCAGTGAGGAGCGGTTTGGCAGCTTTATATCGACACCTTGGGAAACAGCAGTCGGGCCAGGACTGTTCCATGGGCGGTAAACAAAGTTCGACCAGGCAACCTGTTTTTTCTCATCTGCTTCAGGCAGGTGAGATTGCAATGAAAAGACATTGCGTTCAAATTGGCTTGATTCTCAGGCAGAAAGCAGTCTTTTTATTCCAGCAAAAATCAGACTTCTCCGTAACATGGCTTCAGCTGAAGACCGGTGTATCCCACCTAACAGACCTGGAGGTCACAGTGCAAAGAGACCGATAAGGTGCTCGCATCATGCATACTGTATAAAGGGACATTATGTCAGGGGGGTTTGGCTTGCTTATGTGGTGGGCTCGGTTGCATTATATACATCTTATCCTGCAGCTTTTATTCCACAACACCCCCGTTTAGTTACTTTGGGTGAGTCCATCTATTCATTTGTGATCTTAGATTACTTGATAGTTGCTATACCAAAATGCAACACTCATGGTGGCAACGGTTCATTATTGGCCAAAATGTTCTGTTACGAGCCGACCACTGTGAATCCGGAAAACAGCTAGACCCAAGGTATGCGTTTAAAAGGTTTATTGAAAACAGTTTTAAATGAATGTTCTTTAATGCAGACAGGCAGATCAGAAGCAAGCTTGATCTGGCAGGTTACAACTAAACCAGTTTGTGAGAGATAGAACAGACAGGTAGAAGGCTCATCAAAGCAGACCACACCTGAACAGAAAGGTGGCTGGTTTAGATCCGACTGGATGATGGCTGACAGACTAGAAAAACGTTTTAGGCAGACTTGACCAAACTTGACCAGAGTCAGAAGCCAATCAGAATGCAGTGAGGGCAGCCCAAGCACAGGAAACCAGAATTTCCGGGAGACGGGTTGCACACTGACACCGGCGTGAAGAACCATTGAGGATAGCTGGAGCAAAGGAACAAAGGAAGGCTGCCAGTGCAAACTGACACTAGAATGGTTATAATACTGGGAAAAAGGAAAAATGGTGGCAGGAAATAACTAAGACAGGGAAGTATAAATAGGCATATTAGCAGCTGACAGGAATGAGGGTGATTTTGAGAGTGGCAGGTGCATCAGCTTATTAAGATTAGCAGAGTGAAGCAGAGCACAGGCAAGAAGCCAACCTGTCAAAAAAATAAAAACAAAACAGACAAGATTCAGGACATCTAGTTTGATGATCATGTCTTGGAAGGTTTACTTTTTCCAATAATAAATTAGATGTTAAGATACTGAACTGGCAAGAAATAACGTTTTGAACCAAGCCCTGCTTTAAGCTTCTTAAATGAAATATTAACAATGATAAGTACATTAATTACATTTTGTCAGCACAGAAATGTGTGCTGCTGTGTGTTGTGGTTTTAATTCTATCAGAAAAAAAGCAATGACGATTTAAACAAGCCTGTAGAATTAGACTCAGTAGGAGTCAGGATTGTATTCGGTAACTTTAAAGCTTGCTGTTCAGTGCCATTATCACTTATTTAGATCAATGTTCCATTAAAAATACATGCTTTTTTTAGTTTTTAATAACACATCTACATTACAAAATTTTAACGGAAAACTTTTTCAGACCAACACTATTTGAAATGCTAAAAATTGTGCTATCTTCCACATTGGAATTCATAAAAACACTCCCTGCTGAAAAGGCATCACCTCTAATACAGATTCAATTTCACCTGTCCACATCACCAGAGTATTTTAAGTCCATCCACCTGTTGCACCGTTACTACTGTCTGTAGTAATGCATTTCTATTTTGACCAGGAAAAAAGGTTATAATTGGACAGTTTAATTATTACATCAGACATTTGTTTTATTTCAGTATGCTTAAATATAAATATGTCAATAAATAAGTCACATTGAATTCATTCACCTCGTGGTTACCAGGCACCACCAGCTGGTTACCCCTTTAGTCATATCCTAGAAGGACAGCTCTAGTTGTCTTTCAGGAACAATTAAACTGCATTTATTTATTTTTTTATTCAGTTATACTGAAGGAAGCTTAAGCAATGCAGCATAGCTACTTGCAAATGGAATTTGCAAGATAACTTACAGCATTGGTAAATCATACATTTAACAGTAGGACTCTACCCATGTTTAAATGCATCCCCAATTTTACATTAATGAATACTGTCTGGGTTAGAATTACTGTAGAGGGTCCAACTTTGAAAATAATGAATAAACACAGTGATTTATCACTGACCAATAAAAACACTCCTCTACTGCCCTCTTTTATGAAGTTCAATCTCCTTAATAATAATTGCATTTCTACTGTATAAGCTATATGTCAATGTTAGTATTTCTCATTTCTTGGCACTCTTAATAAAGCATTTTTACTTAAGCCATAAGAAAACTGTTGTGGTATAAGTGCAGTGAATTCATTGCAATCCATTTAAACCAAACTTTACACCTAACAGCCAATTATGACATTGCTGCCTCTCTGGCTGAAGTCCACTTTGTAGAAAATCATTTATATTACCAGATTTATATTACTCCAAGGGATTTTTTCTTTTCCCAGCACACTGCACCTTTCCAAAATATTTATAATATCTGTCCTATTTTGCCATCCTAATGAATCCTGTGAGATGATTCTCTCTTTTGAGTAAAGATGGAGTTTTATGAGCTATGAAATTCCCTTAACAACAAAGTAGCTCTGGTTTTTCACTCACCCTCTGTCATCGAGTTGAACTCTTGGAATCCTTCTGAGATGCTATTCGATTCTTTCAAAGGGCTCTTCTTGGTTTTCACTGTCTTTCTGCTGAGTGCTTTCACTATAAAGAAAATAACAGGAAAAACAATAAAACTTTCAATAGCTAATTAATATATTGATATAGTGCCTCAAAAAGTTTTCTGTGTCCCAGTAAGATTTTTTCTGTTTTATCACAATTAATAACCTTGTATAATTTTATAAGGGTTTAGAATTCAGTAAAAAGTGTTACCTTTATATACACTATATTCTGCCCCTTTTCTCTTAATATATTTAAACAAAGTCGACTACCATTTACCATCACTAGTCACGTAACTGGTGAGCAGAATCCTGCTACAGTAGACCTATGTGTTATTTAATAAAAGCATAAATACAGCTGTTTCGTGAAGACATCAGAGGTTTGTCAGAGAACATAAGTGATCAAACAACACCACCAAGGCCAAGGAACAGAAGACAGGTTAGGGATTATTACACAATAAATCTTACAAAACATTATTCAATCCACCACCACAGAATCGACAGAGGATAGCACGACTACAAACCTATCCAAGGAGAGCATTAATCAGAGAAGGAGCCAAGAGGCCTCTGGCAACTTTAATAAAAAGCATGTGCAAGATAAAGTCATTACTTATAGAGAGTTACCAAAAGTCTAAATTTGTATTTTACTTTCAGCCAAGCAGAGAGAACAGATATGGAAAGTTCTCCACTAGATGAGAATCAAAATTGACAAAGTGAAAATCTTGATATTGGAGTCGTTAAACATCACACTGAAAACACCATCTCCTCATTCAGATTTTTAGGGTAATTTTTGTCTCAATGTCTATACTTATTAAACCCTGATAGGACCTACCTGTAAAGTGTCAAGGCTAATGTTTTCCCAAGCAGTTTGGTAAATAGTAAAAGGCCTGTACTTATAAAGCGCTTTGGTCAAGTCCTCTGACTTGACCAAAGCCCTTTACACTACATTCAGTCATTCACGCACTAACATACTGATAATGGAAAACTAAATTGTAACCACAGCTGCTCTTGGGTTTACTGACAGAAAAGGGGCTGCCGTACACTGGCCCCACCGGTCCCTCTGACCACCATCAGTAGGCAATGCAGGTGAAGTGTCTTGCCAAAGGACACGTCGCGGAAAGCCGGAGCCCGGGGTTGAAGCAACAACCCTCGGGTTGCAGGGCAAACTCCTTCATCCGACGCCACTGTCGCACCAGTTTATCTAATTAGGACAGTTCTTCTGCTAGGATAAAAAGTTATCACACTTATATATAGCAAGTACTGTAACAAGGGCTTTGGAATTAAATGGGAGCATACAGACATAGATGATGAGTGTTAACAGAGAAAAATCTGGTAGTGAGCATTGGATTGTCCTCTGAAAACACTTTGTATTATCTTGATATGATGGGGAGATGAGGGGCGCTAAAATACCTTATGAGGTAATCTGGGAAAAAATACTGTATACTGATGGTTTAGACATTGGGGCAGAGCAAATTATCAGAAACATACAGACAGAGCTACAGTACAATTACTTAAATCCAAGAATATCATTGCATTGCAGTTGTCCAGTCACTGCCCACACCACGATCTAATTGAAAAACTAAAGCAAGACATGAAAACTAATGGTCACAGACATTCTTCATCCAACCTGACTGAGTTCCAGATATTTTTTGTACGATGAATGAGTAAGGATTAAAGTCTCTGTTCCCCATCTCGTACCTCTATTTTTCAAGAGAAGAAATGGGGAAGAATGAACACATGGGAAACCACTTTTCCTCTCTACATGTCCACTTGGAGATTTCATTTACTAACACTTTTGATTTCCCCATTCTAAATAATTTGTTTTGGAAAACAAAATATTTAAAATTGTCAACTTCTCCATAACTGAGTCTCTAAGCTCTTTCAAAGTTTAAACTCTGATTGGCTGATAAGTGTCTTCTATTCTTCTGGAAGCTTTATCTACCTGTTACTAAATTTAGAAAGGGCTCAGGGAAAAATACTGAACCAACAAGGTGTTTTTCCCAATACGGCGAGGACCAATCACCTCAATGGGTTTGATAAACATAAATTAGATTTTCCTCGTAACGATTGTTTTTTTTTTTTTTTTTGTGCAAAGCTGTCCAAGAATCTGCTTTATGCGTTTCAGTCTTGTCCTGTCGACTATTTAATGACGCTTTCTTTTTTCATTTTGGGCTGACTTGGTTTTAAATCCAAAGTATCCAACCACCGATAAATTAAACAAACAAGGTTGATTATCAATGAGAACGGCTGATTTATTGTCATTAAAGTTATTTTATGTTTCTGACAGTTATTACAGTAGCTCATCAACACTATACCTAAACAACACATAACACAGCTGTGCTAATTAATGTTGAGGCAAGGGAAACAGTGTTTAATCCAAACAGATGAGGATGAGAGGTTGGGGGGATCAGCATGTTTTTCATCTCCCACCCACAGACCCACCTGCAGCCTGTCTTCATGCTCAAACTTGTGAAGCCACATGCCTTGTACATGAGGTCATTCTGACTCTGTTTAAACACCATCTGCCCCCAAACAGCAGCCATCACACCCTTCACCGTCCTCCAATCATCTAGCTGTTTGTGTGTTTCACTTCTTATGCTGACTTTTGTGGTGCACATTTCTGCCATTCGGATATTACATGTGCCTCAGCACCTTCTGGCCAACGAAAAGCGTTTGATCCTCCTGCAAACAGAAACACCCCTCTTTCCTATATGCACACTAGGAGTGAAAGGATCATAAAGGTTTGTATTGATGAGATAAATCAAAATGTTTCTCCATATGAAAAACTTTACACAAATAACTGTTTTTATTAAAAGGTTTTAAAAAAATTTTATACACCTTGAATTTACCGATGGAAAAAATTGCATTATGTCTTTATTGAGAGCTTATTGGAAGCACGTGTCTCTTTTAATTCATGCAACATGTTAACACTTGAAATGCTTCCCAACAACAGCAATAAAAATGGTAATCCACTGTCATCTAGTGGCAACACTGTTTCATAGAAGTAAGTTTAAAGGAAATTTTACCTTTCCATTTAACACTGTTTGAAGTTGTTTGCCTTTACCTGATTTTGTAGAATCACTGATTCTATCTGTCTTCTTGTCATTCCCTACTTCTCCTTTAGGAATTTTCCTTGCTGGGTTTTGTTTCGGCTCTTCCTGTGTATCAGCTGTCGAGGACTTCGGCTTCACCTTAACCTGATTGTAACGTTCCCTTGTAAGCATCTCCTGCAAGTAGTAATCCTCATCCTCATCAACAAAGCTGGGGTCTCCAAACCCTACGAGGAGCAGCAGAGCCAGGGGGGTCAGAAGGCTCAGGAGTTTCCGTGTCATGGCCCGAGGAGGGGGATTTTCTCCTGTTGATAGTCAACTCCAGATGAGCCTGCTGTTGCTGCTGGTGCCGCTTCTCATCAAGTGCTCATCTTTCGCTCCCTCTCCCCTCCAAGCCAAAGAGTTCAGAAAGTTGTCAGAGCACTCCAAGTCTGTAATAAAGGCAGTGGAGCCAGAGGGTCCATAGACGCCTCAGTCTGGGGAAAAATGCAATGAGGGAGAGACAAAGACAGCAGCAGAGGGAGCAGGCAGGAAAGAGGCAGTGAGACAGGTGATTCACATAAAAACTTTTTTTTCTCCTTCATTTCAAAACCCACACTTGCTGACACATTGCTTTGTCATTTTATTGGTCTGAATAGAGTTAAATAGCATCAGAAACACAACCCAACACCATCATCATTTCCTTCCAGTTTATTTTGCAAATGAATTGCTGTATAGGAAGACAATTTCCTTTTTTTTTATTAGGGCAAATAATTCAGGTTGAAATACATTTCCAAACTTGGAAATAGAAACAGATCTCAGTGCATAATGTTTAAAGATATATTGTTAAATACTAACAAACAATAGTCGTCAATGTAGAGTTATCAGGGTTGTGATAAAATATTATAGGTTTATCAATGAAGATATACAAGAAGGCACTTAATCAGACAAATAAGTTATATTGACATCGAAGTTTATGCAGTTGAATTACATTGAATATAACATTACCCGTATTTAATTGAGATTCAATTTCAATTGGGGGGAGCTACTCTTTCCTTTCTTTGCCCGGATGAAAGAAGAGAGTCGCTTGGCTTATTTTAATGAATAATGCTACGTTCAGACCGCAAACACCGAAGCCTTTGCAAGAGGGAAATACAGCAATACCCCCTAAATGACTCTGTCAAGGAAAGAGACATAGTTAAACAAGCTCTGATCCCGGGAAATCTGAGATGGACAAGCGACCTGTCCATGGTATACCCTGCCTCTCGTCCGTGACCGCTGGAGCACCAGCACCCCTTGTGATCCCACTTGGGATTAAGCTTGTCAGAAAGTTGAATGGATGGATGGATGGATGGATCCCGGGAAATTTCTATGGGGCAGCAATAGCTTTGGCAACAAAGTTGCTTTTTTCAAAGAAGATGAAATTAAGAGAAGGTGGATCTGTATTTGCTATGCCAATTTAACAGGATATAATGCTGCTTTGCATGAAATTCTTGTTTAGGCCAACACATCTGAGAACCTAACAGTCTTTGCACATTAATAATCAGCTGAAATCTTCCCTAACAGTCTGCCAGTGGAGCTAAACATGTTACGACACATGGATGGCATGCCGCCCTGTTTGTCACTGATCATCACATCAGCGCACTGTTCAGAAAGCCTTTACCTCAGTTACTGTACAGCAGCTGATTAAACCTTGCTTTCACTGGAGTAAAACACCTCCAGCAAGCTTATAACTGTCACATAACTGAGTAAAGCAAAATGTCTTTGACTGTTTTTTTAATTGTAACAAAATTCTACTGAAACAAACTGTAATAGCTGCTTCATTTTTTATGTTTCTACAAGTTTAGTTCTGAAAAGTGGGTCTGATGCATGTTGGGAGGAGTTACCCTATCCCTTCTTTGCCTGTAACAATAATACCACGCTCCCTGTTTATGTTTCAGATTGTGTTGTATTAAAGTAAAATAACTCAGTCAAGCTTCTGGAATTTTACCAACCTAATGCAAGCAGTCTGGCTGCATGGGTTTAAAATTCCATGATAACTGAAAAGAAGACCCATAAAGGCCCTAAAAGATGAATGGATGGAAACTCAACTCATACCTGAAACTGAGAGTGTGTCTGAACAGGCAAAATAAGGGGATTTAGTCTGCAGGCAAATCACAGAGGAATAGGATCTGCAGTGGGTGGACAGCTCAAGGCTGCCAGCCTCTGTGTACTGCTGGCACAACGCGTTGCCAGCCACACAGGCGCTTTGCATTCGCCCACTTCACATTGAGACTACACCCATCCTGAGCTGTCAGAGATGGGCAGGGAACGGAAGAAGGGATGAGTAAAAGGCACATGGCAGGACGTTAAGACTTTATAGCATGAAGAAGGCTGTGAGAAATACAAAATCCTTCATCCTTGCACACATTAAAAACAGACTCAACAGTTTAGATGTTTTAAATGATCAGACACGTGGCAGCAAAGTTTGCAGAGAAATCCAAAACACACTGTTGGATTCCAATGGTGAGCCAGAACTAGTGCGCTACAGTGTGAGTTTGGCTCGTTGGTTTAATTAGATCAAATAAACCATATTTTAATGATTATAAACTCGAATATCAACAACTTTGTCATCAAAGCCAAGGACATTTTATCTGAAAAAACAGATAAGTCAAAAGATGTGTGGCTTTTCCTTTCTGGTGTAAAATCAGCCAACATCTTTATGTCTATTATGATTTATGTTATTACTTTGAGCTGCAGAGAATAAAAATCCCCTTGTTTTTTGTGCAGCCTCTTATAGCTCTACTATGTGTCCATTTTTCCCTGGCTCACTCTAATGATGTTACTTTAATTGCATCTTCTCATCTATCATGATGTCTGTGAAAAGAGTTTTATTTATTAATATTTTCATCCTGAAACAGCAAAAATGTTCACGTTACTATATTTCATGAACATATTTTATTAATTATTAAACCCTTAAATTGTTTTCTAGTTTTAACTATTAGAAGGCCTTAAAAGTATAAAGGTGTACCAAAATATCAAGAAGTTGCAGTTTCTAAACTTGTTCATCATAATGTTTTTAAAGAGTATGTTTAAGAATCCAGAGAAACTGTCATACTTGTCAAGTTTTCTCTGTCAGTATAGGACATGGTTAACAGTAACAAACAGCGTCATTCAGGTGGTATTTATAAGGCTACATCTTCATTTTTAAGAAAGGCAAATTTTGATATTTAAAAGTGTTTCTGTTTATAAATCATAAGAATAATTGGGGTTTGGAACAGGAAGGAGAATCACCAATAAGTTCTTGTTGGTTTTAGACGCATCATGCAGGCTAACTGAGGAGATACATGATATGGATAAAAGAGAAGACTACAAAAATAAATTATTTACCAGCTAACATCAACTTGTAAAAACCTTTTTAAGTTTATAAAAAGAACAGATTTAAAGTCGATGATAGTTTGCTCAATGATCAAAATGTTTTAACGGTTCCTTTTTTATTATTTTGTTCTGCATTTTATATATTTTTTTCCTTTTCCTGTTTTATTTTGGTAGTCTTAGTTTCTTTTTTTCCATATCATGTATCTCCTACTGTAACACTTTGCTTTTTGGTCATATTTGCTTTAATTATGTTTTCCTACCTCTATTTTTCTACCTGCTAACCCCTGCTCTTTACTTGTCTTTTATTCCAATACCAGGTATATGCTGGTTATTGCTCTCTGATGGCAGCTTGACTTTCAGTTAATCAGATTTACCTGTTGTTTTGTTTGTACTGGTACAGTATTCACTATCCATATATATTTTTGCTGTCTTAGTGTAGTGTTATTCAAATCCTGCTTTTTTCTGCCATTTTATGGTGGGTCTATGCATTTTTATGCCACATGTTTTTCTTTTACTTTAAATTAAACTAATTTGATTATTTTATTAATTTCTATTTAATTTTTTTGTCTTACTACACTTCAACTGTGTAATTTTTAACCAGGGTACCATACCATAAGAATGTTATACTCTGTCAGAGAGCATCACTCTGGTAACACATGCGGCACAAATATTTTTCAGACCCAAGAAATTTGTGAAATAAGTTTAAGGCTTAAAAACTTTAAGGTTTTTGCATTATTGTGTTATAGTGGAGCAGGGACAACATTTAACAGCACTTTTCTGGTCACCCTAAGCCTTTCACAGTACTTTGCACTGATATACAGATAGGCCCTCTGAAGAAAAGGTCCTTGCAGCACATCGACATGTGGAAGAAGGAACCTGGCTCACATCTGTTTGATTGCAAGGATACAGACTTTTTTTCAAAGTCTTAAAGTGAATTTGATTAATAATCCTCGGAGGTTTATGAAGGAGCGATGCATTTTTTTAAGTTTTTTTTTTTATTGCTTGTTTGTTTGTTTGTTTTCCTGCAGAGTTGCATGCCTTTTCACTAATTTCCACTTGGAAGCTAATTGTAAACAAAAAAGGGCTGGAAGACCTTCACTGGAGGAAATCCATAAATCCAGGGCCAAACCCAGCAACAATTTTAAGCTGCATCTTAAGTGGAGAGGGTGCTGTGTTTCAAGCCAAGCTGAGAGTATGTACCCTATAAAAAGCCTGACAACCGAAGACTTTGCCCCCCTTTTGGAAAGGATCTAGGGATCCACAAGTCAATTTGAGAGCAGTTTTCTATTGGACCAACAGATACAACTGAGTTATTTAGTAAGGATTTCATATGGAATAGCAATTTTTCAAATCATCGTCTGGATTTTTGAAGCTTGAATGTTGAATAGGGGCACAATTCAAACGTTCTTAGATGAAACACCACAAATCATTTAACCAATTTATATAGACTTGTGGTTCAGCTTTAATTGGTAAGTAACAAAGTCCAGAAAATTTTAATGTCATAATAACTCCTATGGTTGAATTCTGCCCAGATTTTTAATTCACTTTTATCTCCACCCCTTATTAACATTTGCTGGAATCACAAAATTCCATGTATCTTATTGGTACTTTAATGTGATAGACAAACACAAAGCATCCCAAAATTGTGAAGACTGAAGAAAAAGATAATAGTTCTTTTTTTCATTCCTTTTTACATACAGTAGATTCAACCTATATTTCTATGTATTTCCTAATTATTTAATCTCTTTTACTTCCTTAATAAAATCCATTGTGCTCATACAGTTTTCTAATAAACCTGAAAAACATTATTCTTAAACAATATTCAACCTACAGTAGCACCTCATTTTGAAAGAAAGAATTATGGAAAAACTGAAACACCTTCAAAACATTGCAGCCCATCAAATATGTAAGGAGAGGAGTAGTGAGACAAGCAAGGGAACTGCACAACTCAACTGCTCAGGAAAAAACAACCAAACATAGGGTTTTGTTCTACATGCAAAATAGTACATGTGTTGAAAAACTAAAACTGAACACATCTTCTCATAGGTGAACCATGGTATTGGCAGCAGTACTGTATCCTGTGGGGATGTGTTTAATTATTTTACTGAGGTACATTGGTTTGAACAAAAGTGTTTAATAGGGAATGTTTTAAAGAGACTTTAGACATAAACAACAAACTGTAAGGCATTACAGGATT